CGCGCTATTCCTACTAGTCTCGGAGGCCCGACCATTGCGAGTCTTGGCGTCGCAACCCGAGCGCATCGACTTAAAGGTTTACCTGTCGGCCCTGTATCGTATGTCTCAATCTCCAGATGATGGGGTTTTGCCTTCGAAGTCGAGCCCCCGGAATAAAGCCACCACCGAAAGATCCCAATTGGATCGTCGTGAGATCGCAAGGCTTCGAAGATGTCGAAGGGCGGGCCTTGCTTGAGGGTGTTCTCGTGTCGAGGTATCGCAGTCATTCCCGAAGACGTAAGCTTTGAACACTTCGAATGTTGAGTACGACTCGAGGCACGCCCATGCGCTACGCGGGCCTATCATCTCCTCCCCATTGAAATTTGGACCGCCCTCGGTCCGTCGCCGCTCTACCTCCATCCTCGTGTATCACCACACCAGCCGAAAGAAGTCTGTGAAGCGCGCCTTGAGGCGTGCAAAGTCAGTAGCACAACCGAGACAATAACGCACCAATTGCGACATCGAAGAACGCCGAACAATAGTCAGTGATTAGCAAGCAGTCACGCCTCGAGCACCTGACAATGAGGCCCCTGTTGGAGCGATGCGAGGCTGACTGCACGATGCCTCGGCAAACACCGCGACCATTCCGATAAAAGGGGTCCGTCGCCCATCCTCGATCCTTGTCGCTTTCATCAGCTTCACTCACAACCTGTCGAACCGCCTCGCTCAACTCCATTCCTGAACACTTCTGCCATGTCGTCTACCTCCGCCGCCGCTTCCTGTCTCTCCACGCCCGTGATCACCACTAACAAGACAATTGAGTGCGTCCTTCGACTCCTGACCGTCGACATCCAATCCGCCCCCAAGCCCGACTCCTTGAAGGAGGAGGCTAAGGACTGGATCGATGACATCTCCAAACACCTAGTAAGTTGATACGCAATCAAAATTTAAATATTCTCATCTGACGTCTTTCCCTCCTAGACCTTGATCCACAGCAAAGGTGGCATACTCCCTGAGGACATGGCCAAAGCGGTCCAGAACGCAGTCTTGAAGGTCAAGGCCACCTACCCCAACTTGCCGATCCGATTTGGCACCATCATACCCGAATGGACGTGGGTGAAAAACACCCGAGAACGCCGCAACCTCGAGGCCAGGATTGCAGCCGAAGAAGCCGAACTCGCGCAAATTGTGGCCGAGGAGGCCGAACTTGCCAGGATCGCGGCTGAAGAGGCCGAGCGTGCCCATCAAGCTGCCGAAGAACTGGCAAAGGCCAGCCGCGACGACGCGACAGGGAGCGGTCTGATAGAAGACAAGCCTATGGTCATCGATGAGGCTACCCCGGGCAACGATGGCGCTGCGTCTCACGATGACAACAATGAGGAGCCCCGAGACGACGACGATGCCGACGAGATCAAAGAAGAGTCAGAAGGGGACGAAGGGGCCGACAACGCCAAATCATTTGTCACTGAGGAAGTCGAAGCCCTCAATGGCGATGGCAAGGCCGCCGAATCGTGGCGAGTCGTACGACAACGCGACTGGTTGGGCATCTCGTCCAAAGATATCAAAAAGCACGCGAAGCAGGCTCAAAGGAAAGGACAATGGGTAAGTGTTCCTGCGTCGGTCTCTTGTTTGTAACTAAACCTATTCGGGGATTTCGTTCTTAGTGCGACCGCTGCAAGTTGAATTGGTCGGTTTCGACTTGCATCCCGTTGCGCAAGCAGCCCGATAAGTGCGAGAAGTGCACGCACGACGTACAAGGCTGCTACTTCGATGGGGCCTTGATGCAAGGCCGGTCAAAGTCATCTCAAACTGCGCGCGACAAAGGCAAAAGTAAGCTCATTCATTCTTTCCCTTACCAACAGACACTGATCGTGCTGTTCGCAGAGCGCGCCGTGAAGTCGCCGCTGACTTTGCCCCGCGTTGCAAAGCGCGCGAAGTCGTCGGTCGACCCATCGGCAACTTTGGATCCGTTGTCGCATGCCGTGTCGAACTATTCGGCACTCGAAGTGGTGCGCCTCGAGCGAGAGATCGTCGCGATGTGGATTGCGCTCCTTTGGGACATCGATGCGGCTTTAGCTGACCAGGAGCGGTTATATCTAAGTTAATTAAGTGTCAAGAAGGGGCCACCAGTTGCTTCGTCGTCGAAGAGCCCTCTGGTGGCTTCGTCGTCGAAGGGCCTGCGGTCCGCGTCGAAGGTGCCTAAGTAGTGTTCGGCCGGCCGCGTGTATATTAGCTTGCTTTTCAAATTGTTGTATTATCTCCGCAATAAAGTATCGTGATCTCGTTCGATTGTCATGTATTCAGAAGGAGCAGGAATCAGCTTTGGAAGAGTCTAAGATCTCAATCGCCGCATTAGTACACAAGTTGCGTTAGTAAATCTAAATTTTGTATAGATCGTCGTCACCGTTCGAATCAGCGAGTTCTAGCTCTCGCAATCGCTTGGTTGAGACGTCAAGGATATCTTCGGGTATGTTAATCTCCCATCGGGCGAGGTAAGGCACAACTCGGAAAGTGGCCACCGGTCTGTCCAGTACTGCGCCGTCCAGTTCGCATAAGATGTAAGTGCCTCCCCGGTTTTGTGCAACTACAACTGCGGGCCTGAGATATCGCAGCCTCATTTTCCGATTGAGTGCCTTCTCGATAGCTGTGTTTCGAATTAATACCAGCGCTCCCTTCTTGAAATCAAAGTCTCGAATCATAGCTGCGTGATTGGTCTCAAATCGCTGTGCTGCGGCTCGGCGTGCTTTGTACACCTTCGAGTGTAGCTCGGAGACTTGTTCGACACGTTTCTGTAGCACGATCGCTCGTCAGGCTATAAGGTCTGTAGTCAAAAGCATTGAGGAGGGCGGCAGCTGTATATAGGTCGCTTCGAGGATGTCTAGAGGTATTATCGGGTGGGTCCCGGTGACTGCGAAGTACGGCGAACAGCCCATTCTGCGCCTCGTCATGATGCATTCTGACCAGAAGACCGAGTAAGCGACCTGCGACCATTTGTTCTGCTCACCGTTGGCTGCTTTGTATAAAGCCTGCCTGACATCGAAGTGGGGTCATTCAACGAGTCCATTTGCACACGAATTGTAACCGCTAATCTGAATATGGTTAATATTGTACTTCATTGAGAGGTAGTGTGTGGCTTTTATGAACGGGGCACCGTTGTTGGTTACGATTTCGGTGAGGGCACCCCATCGACATAGGAAGTCTTCGAAGATCCATTCCGTTATGGCTTTTGATGTTTCATTCCAAAGCATCCTAAACTCAGGATATTGCGTTAGCGAACATCGACCTTGTACGAGATACTTATATCCGCCCGAAGCCGGCATGTGCATCATGTCAATGTGTACCTTCGCGAAGATCGGAGCTGGTGTTGCGACAACTGGGGGTATTAGGATCTGTCGGACTTGTCTTTGCTGGCAGAGGTGACAACTTCGCACAAACCATGTGATATTGGCATTGTGGTTCGGCCACCAAAATTGCTTGGAGACCAGTGATCGGGTTGCGAAGATGCCTCAATGGCCCACCTTGTCGTGGCACTCGCGGAGGATTTGAAGTCGGTCGGCTTTTCCTATCACAAGTTTGTGGGCTCCGTGGGTATCTTTGCGCCATAGCGTTTCACCGTTGAGGAAGAAGTGTAGGCAGAACTTGATAAATCCTTCGTACGCGCTATCGCTGAGGTCGGGTGGTCATACCAGAGTTCGGAGGAATTGTCAAACAGCTTCAAGCTTCTCATCGGCGCTGTGCAGTGCATTTGATCTCGGAACGATGCTGTAGTCATCCTCCTCCCCATTGAAATTTTGACCGCCCTCGGTCAGCTTGTACGTAGAGACAGTTCGGAGCCACGCAGATGGAGGGGTCTGTACCTGGTGAATAAATAAGTGTAACTTATCAATCCAATCGTCAAAGTCGTCATCGTCGTCGTCGATGTCGCCCAGTTGCCGTGGTCTCCTCGAGAGACCGTCGGGCCCGTGCATCGTCCCAGGAACATGGACAAGTGTGAAATGAAATGTTAAAATGGAAACAATCCACCAATTAACACTCGCACTGGGCGCGATATCGGGATTTGCGAGCATACCCTTGATATACCTAGCGTCGACCTCAATCACCAAATTCCAAACGCCGATCAGATACAAATGAAGTGTTTGGAGTGCTTGAAAAAGGCCGTAAATCTCAAGCTTCGGTTGCGAGAATCGCCGTTCCCGATCGTTAAGCGTAATCAAACCAAATCGGCTATAATATCGAAGTCGGGTGTTGGCCTCGTCGGTCTGGCAAAGGTGATATCCAACGGCAATATATGAAGTGTTGACCGCTATAATGACTGGAGCTGCGGAGTCGTAGTTGATCACGCACAGCGCTGGTGAGTTGAGTAAGGCGTCCTTGAGATCCTGTTGGGAAGCTAATTGCTTGGGACCAAACTTGAAGTCCGCATCCTTTTGCATTAGTCGAACGAGGGGTTCCGCGCGATGCGCGAAGTTACAAATGAATATACGTACAACTATGATGGTTCCGAGAAATGCTCAAACGTCGGAGAGTGTCTCGCAGGGTCCCCAGTTTTGGATGACTGCAACTCGAGACTTGTCGGGTAGCCGTCCCTCTGGCGTGCATCGATGCCCGACCACCATGATTT